ACACCGGACACATTAGCTCTTCGCTATGAAGCAAGGCCTCCAGCGTCGGGGGTGAGGTGTGGCGGACCGACGCAGTGTCTTGTTCCCCTTCTCGGGGAACAAGGTTACATACGTACCCGAGACGTTCACTTTCGAGGGAACTCGAACTGCGTCGGTGACGACACTATGGGAACGAGAATACCCACTATGCCACGCCAAAGCCACTGCCTGCCCCCAGCGTGCAGAACCTGATGGCTCGACTAAGAGGAGAGCGCACGGTACCGGTGCAGAAGGAAGGTCCAGAAGGAAGGTCCAGACTGTAAAACCGGATGAAAGTGTGAGCCAACCTGGATGGAACCTTAGGGACATAGCCCGGACAGGGGTGCAGGATGGCTCTGACCCTCCCCGGGGCAAACTCCAGGCATTGAAGAGAAACCGAAGGTGCCTGGAGATCCCCCCCTCCTCAGAGAGGTGATAGCGAGGAGAAAGGCCATCTTAAGGGTTAGGTGCTTGGCCTCAGCCAACTCCAGGGGTTTGAAGGGGGCCTCAGCCAGCGCTTCGAGAACCACTGCCAGGTCCCAAGTGGGAACCCGGGAACGAGTCACGGGTCTCATTCTCCGGCTCCACGGAGGAAGCGCACGACCAGTGGAAGGGGCGTGGAACGCTGCCATGGCAGCCACATACACCTTGAGTGTGGGGAAAGACCAGCAGAGAAACGGTCCTGGAGGAACTCCAGTACCATAGTCACCGGGCAGGTAACTGGGTCCACCGCCCGTTCTGTACACCAGGTGGCAAACACATTCCACTTCAGGCCGTACGCCCTTCTCGTGGACGGGGCTCTGGAGCTGAGCAGCGTCTCGACTGTTAGGCCCGCCTCAAGGAACTGGGCCCTCCTCAGAGGGACCTGCCATGGCGGGCCCTTGTGGAGCGATATTATGTCCGGAACCACACTCGGGCCGGCCAAAACAGGGCTACTAGCAGTAGGCTGACACCATCCTGACTGACCCGCTGTGAGAGGGACGGATGGAGACGTGGAACTATGCTTCTCGCAGATCTAACGTGACAAACAAATCCTCTGATTGAATGTGGCTGACGATGCCGAGGATGGTGAGCATCTTGAACCTGAATCTCCTCAGAGATTGGTTCAGGGACCGCAGATCTAAAATCGACGCAATCCTCCGTCCTTTTTGGGAACTATGAAGTACCGGCTGTAGAACCCGGACTCCCTGACTGGCGGGAAATGAGTTCTATGGCCCCTTTCTCCAGCAGAGAGCGAACTTCTTGTCCCAACACCTGGCTCTGCTCCGAGTGCACCGCAGTCCAGACCACCCCGTTGAATCTGGGGGGGTGGACCCGGAACTGCAGCCTGTAGCCATCCACTACGGTGCGCAGACCCACGGGGAATGTTCACAAGGCTCCGCCATGCTCCTGCGAATTCCGGGCTGGTGGCCAGTGTTATGCATAGGTCCCCGGCAGCACCCTGAAGAGCAGGTCCGCCAGGGAAAAACCGCCGATAATCCGCGGTGTGTGAGCCAGAGCGCCTCCTGACTGTGGCCCCTCGGGGCAGGCAGAATGGCGTTGACTGAAAAATCGTCCTCAGATACGTTGTCTTGGGGGCTGTGGGCGAGAGCGCCGCATCGTGTCCCAGGTGCGCTGAGGGGACCCCAAGAAGCGACACTCTGCCTCTGGCTCTGGCGGTAGGAGCTGGACGACGGCTGGGACCGTCTCTCTGCAGCCGTCGCCATCCTGGACCCAGACCGGCGGGGATACTGCTGGAACGCCTCCCTTTGCGTCCTGGCATGCTGAAACCTGCTGACGACAGCGTCCACCGCCTCGCCAAACAGGCCAGAGGTTGCGACCGGTGCATCGAGCAGGAAGGTTTTCTCCCTCTCCTGGATGCCCGACAGATTGAGCCACAGGTGCCACTTCGTGGCCACCAGTGCCGACATGGAGCGGCCAATGGCACGGGCCGTCTCCTTTGTGACTCGACGAGGACGAGTGACAAATCCTTAGCTCCGCGCCATGTCCTTCTGCAGGTCAGCCTGGTATGCCTGTAAAACCGCCATCGTGTGCAGCAGGAAGCGCAGGAAGCGCTCATCCAGCTTACTTGCAGCCTGTGTGTCTGGCCAATCGAGCTGGAGCTTGCCCACTGCCCGTGTCACCACCTCCAAGAGCTCGTCATAGCTGGTTGATGACTGATGACATTGATCCGGCTCCCGGAAGTCTTCTCCATAATGCTGAGCACATCCAGCTCCTCAGAACCGAACAGCCGCAGCCTCTCCGGGCTCACACCTCAAGCGGGAGAAGCCAAAAGCGGGCTCCCGAACAGGGAAGAGGGGAGTCGGAGCCAGCAGACGAGGAACGGGAAAAAGCCTCTGCAGTCCCGATGCCCTCGGAGATGTCGCGCCGGGAGCCCCATGACTGAAGCCGCCGTGGAAAAGAGAGCCGCACGGGACCTCAGCACCCTCAGGGGCAGGGCCTCGCAATGGCCGCAAGCAGCCCCGTCAAGAGCTGCCTGGACATGCGGCATCCCCAGACAGGAAGCACACTGCCTGAACTGCTGACCAGCCATCTCCTCTGCTTCTCCTTCCAGGTATCTAGATCCTCTCGTGGTTGCTTTCTTCTGAGTAGTCTTGAACATGCCAGAGTGCTGCTGAATATAAAAACTGATGTGTCCGGTGTGCCGGCGTGCTTATATACGCCTCCAGTTACGCCGTCACACGCTACCGTTCTAGCAACGCCAATAGGATTGGAGTAGTTTCATTCATGATTTCAGCCCTGCCACGCCCAGAGGCGTTCCCATAGTGTCGTCACCGACGCAGTTCGAGTTCCCTCGAAGGGGAACTGAGACTTTGAAAGATCCTGACAAATGTTTTTGTCCAATGAAACTCGGCAGGACCTTAAAGAAATGAGCCTTTCCTCCAAAAGCAGAAGAGCTTCACTTCAAAATGTTTAATATTTAATTTATCCTCAGAGACGAAGGTTCAACTCAGCTGATTTTCTGTGATGAAGAACATTTATTTTTCTTTCTGGTGACGTAACAGAGGAGAAGAAAAGTGAATTTATTTTAGGAAAATGCTTTTTAACGCAGAATCATCTCAGTGTTACAGATCGCTGCAGAAAACTGCAAGAAAAGCTGAGAGATGTTTCTGTTTTTCATTAAGGTTTGATATTATTTACATATTTAACTGCCAGAAATCTGATGTTGAAAAAAAACTAAAGAAGGTTTCTGTCGTCTTCTTCTCTGGTCCTCCTACACTTGTTTCCTGCGCTGACGGCGCCCTCTGCTGCTTTAACCCTTCGTCTCCTCTCAGCTCAGACGCTTCCTGCTGCAACAGCTGGGACCGGTGGCGTCCCATGAGGCTTTGGGGCGGTGAAGAAGGTGATAGGGGAAGTGTTGCAGGCTGCAGTGTTGACCAATGAGAAGCAACAATCTGTCCACAGGTAAAGTAAAGAACACTTGGCTGTCCAATCACAGGACGGGACGCAGCTTCCTGTGTGAAGCTGCTCTGCAGGTGGAGGTCAGATTGCTCCTCATTAGTGATCGACCAATGATTGATGTGCGTTTCAGGTGCGTGCTGTGTTACCAGCTGCTGACCTTCACTCTGCTCTTCAGCGGCTCCATCACACCGGTGGTCGTCCAGGTAAGAGGCCGCCCTTTCCAGATGTCAGTGAAGCAGCCAATCAAAAACCTGATTATGTCCGTTAATACACAATAAAGTTTGATCATTTATGAAGCGGTTTAATATCAAAATAAATTGAATGTGAGAGGAACAGATGATGATGGCTCTCACAGATTTGATTTCACTTCATATCACACGTTATCACTTTATCAGTTAAACATTCAAACCAGCATTGGTATTGTGCTCGCACTACTGAGCCATAACTGTTCCATACTGCACCTCTCAACTGTGAAAGAAATCTTAAATCAACGTCCGCTAAATATTTCATCAGCCCCTTGGAGCGCAGAGCAGGAAGTCTGGCCACTCATGGTCAGCTGTGGACCTGCAGCCTGAAGCAGGATGCTGTCAGATGCACATAGAGTGACAGATCTGCGTTTGCACATCTTCACCACCTGCACAAATGGACTGTGTAAATTAAAAATGTCTGGAAATAAAGCAGGACAGCTGTCACACAATCGCATCCTCATCATGATGCAGCCAAACCTGAAAATGTGATCTCCCAGGGTGACGAGACCACAATCCATCACTCTGGCGGGGAGTGAAGCCTCACTCTGTGTGACTGCTGTAAACATGTACAAACTGTGAGACACAAACTGTGCGTAATGCTGCATTTGACAGACCAACCTTCCTCACTTCCTCCTTTACTTCCTATTTTACTTCCTCTTTCTCTTCATCACTTCCTCCTTTTTTTCATCACTTCCTATTTTCCTTCCTTGCTTCCTCTTTACTTCCTAACTTCCTCCTTTCTCTTCCTCTCTTCCTATTGTCCATCCTCCTCCTTCCTCACCTCCACTTTCTCTTCCTCACCTCCTATTTCCTTTCTCACTTCCTCCTTTTCTTCCTTCGTTCCTCTTTTCCTTCCTCACTTCATCCTTTTCCTCACCTCCTCCTTTCCTTCCCCACCTCTTCCCTTCCTTCCTCACCTCTTCCCTTCCTTCCTCACCTCCCCCTTTCCTTCCTCACCTCTTCCCTTCCTTCCCCACCTCCTCCTTTCCTTCCCCACCTCTTTCCTTCCTTCCTCACCTCCACCTTTCCTTCCCTTCCCCACCTCCTCTTTCCTTCCTCCCCTCCTCCTTTCCGTTTTTACAAACTGTCCTCCTCCTTTCCTTCCTCCCCTCCTCCTCTTTCCTTCCCCACCTCTTTCCTTCCCTCCTCACCTCTTCCCTTCCTTCCTCACCTCCCCCTTTCCTTCCTCACCTCCCCCTTTCCTTCCCCACCTCCTACTTTCCTTCCTCACCTCCTCCTCTTTCCTTCCTCACCTCTTCCTCTTCCTCTTCCTCTTTCCTTCCTCACCTCCTCCTCTTTCCTCCCTCACCTCCTCCTCTTTCCTTCCTCACCTCCTCCTCTTTCCTTCCTCACCTCTTCCATTCCTTCCCCACCTCCTCTTTCCTTCCTCCCCTCCTCCTTTCCGTTTTTACCAACTGTCCTCAGATCTGTTTCAGGTGAGCTGACAGTAAATGTCCACCAGAGGGAAGCGTGTCCTCAGCAGCTCAGTCATTGGTCATCCTCACCTCCTCCTTTCCTTCCTCACCTCCTCCTTTCCTTCCCCACCTCCTCCTTTCCTTCCCCACCTCCTCCTTTTTCTATCCTCACCTCCTCCTTCCCTCCCTCCCCTCTACCTTTCCTTTTTTACAAACTATTCTCAGATCAGTTTCAGATGACGGTAACGTCCACCAGAGGGCATGTTGTCCTCAGCAGCTCTGTGATTGGTCCGTTTTTGTTGTCTTCAGGTGGACGTTGACCTGACGTTTTCCTCTCTGAGCGACGACACGTTTGATGGACAGATCACCAGAGACCTGATGCTGAAGGACACACTCCACTTCCTGCTGCCGACAGACACACACCTGTCCTCAGAGACACACCTGTCCTCGGAGAAACTCACACAGACATTGGGGGGACAGGTGAGTTTACAGGGAACATGAATAACGTTCAGTTTTATTAATGTGAATGCCTTTTAAGGTCAGTGTCAGTGATCGATCAGTAACTCTGTCTGCAGGACGGTGGCTGCAGAGGGACAAACACTGTATGTGTGTCAGAAGACGAGTTTTTTCTTCTGCTGCAGTTTCAGCGGCAGATGAAGACGCCTTCAGCGTTTCAGTTGGTAACAAAGTACACACTGTGACCTCATTATATACACAGTATACATACCATGAAGTACACCCTGTGACCTCATTATATACAAAAAGTACAAATACCATGAAGTACACACTGTGACGTCATTATAAAGTACACACTGTGGCCTTATAATAAAGTACAACCTGTGACCTCATTATAAAGTACACACTGTGGCCTTATAATAAAGTACACCCTGTGACCTCATTATAAAGTACACCCTGTGACCTCATTATAAAGTACACCCTGTGACCTCATTATAAAGTACACACTGTGACCTTATAATGAACTACACACTGTTCCCTCATCATGAAGTACACCCTGTGACCTCATTATGAAGTACACCCTGTGACCTCATTATGAAGTACACCCTGTGACCTCATTATGAAGTACACCCTGTGACCTCATTATGAAGTACACACTGTGACCTCACACTGTGACCTTAAAATGAACTACACACTGTGACCCCATTATAAAGTACACACTGTTCCCTCATTATGAGTACACCCTGTGACCTCATTATGAAGTACACCCTGTGACCTCATTATAAAGTACACACTTTTCCCTCATTATAAAGTACACCCTGTGACCTCATTATAAGTACACACTGTTCCCTCATTATGAAGTACACCCTGTGACCTCATTATGAAGTACACCCTGTGACCTCATTATGAAGTACACACTGTGACCTCATTTTAAAGTACACACTGTGACCTCACACTGTGACCTTATAATGAACTACACCCTGTGACCTCATTATAAAGTACACACTGTGACCTCATTATAAAGTGCACACTTTGACCTTATAATGAAGTACACACTGTGCCCTCATTATAAAGTACACCCTGTCACCTCATTATAAAGTACACACTGTGACCTTATGATGAACTACACCCTGTGACCCCATTATAAAGTACACATTGTGACCTCATTATAAAGTACACCCTGTGACCTCATTATAAAGTACACACTGTGACCTCATTATAAAGTGCACACTTTGACCTTATAATGAAGTACACACTGTGCCCTCATTATAAAGTACACCCTGTCACCTCATTATAAAGTACACACTGTGACCTTATGATGAACTACACCCAGTGACCCCATTATAAAGTACACATTGTGACCTCATTATAAACAGTACACCCTGTGACCTCATAAGTACACCCTGTGACCTCATTATAAAGTACACACTTTGACCTTATAATGAAGTACACCCTGTGACCTCATAAGTACACCCTGTGACCTCATAAGTACACCCTGTGACCTCATTATAAAGTGCACACTTTGACCTTATAATGAAGTACACCCTGTGACCTCATAAGTACACCCTGTGACCTCATTATAAGTACACACTATGACCTCATTATAAAGTACACACTGTGACCTCATTATAAAGTACACCCTGTGACCTCATAAGTACACACTGTGCCCTCATTATAAAGTACACACTATGACCTCAGTATAAAGTACACACTATGACCTCAGTATAAAGTACACCCTGTGACCTCATAAGTACACACTGTGACCTCATTATAAAGTACACACTGTGACCTCATTATAAAGTACACCCTGTGACCTCATAAGTACACACTGTGCCCTCAGTATAAGTACACCCTGACACCTCATTTTAAAGTACACCCTGTGACCTCATAAGTACACACTGTGCCCTCATTATAAAGTACACACTATGACCTCAGTATAAAGTACACCCTGACACCTCATTTTAAAGTACACACTGTGACCTTATAATGAAGTACACACTGTGACCTCACACTGTGACCTCATTATGAAGTACACACTGTGTCCTCATTATAAAGTACACCCTGTGACCTTATGATGAACTACACCCAGTGACCCCATTATAAAGTACACATTGTGACCTCATTATAAACAGTACACCCTGTGACCTCATAAGTACACCCTGTGACCTCATTATAAAGTACACACTTTGACCTTATAATGAAGTACACCCTGTGACCTCATAAGTACACCCTGTGACCTCATTATAAAGTGCACACTTTGACCTTATAATGAAGTACACCCTGTGACCTCATAAGTACACCCTGTGACCTCATTATAAAGTACACACTATGACCTCATTATAAAGTACACACTGTGACCTCATTATAAAGTACACCCTGTGACCTCATAAGTACACACTGTGCCCTCATTATAAAGTACACACTATGACCTCAGTATAAAGTACACCCTGTGACCTCATAAGTACACACTGTGACCTCATTATAAAGTACACACTGTGACCTCATTATAAAGTACACCCTGTGACCTCATAAGTACACACTGTGCCCTCATTATAAAGTACACACTATGACCTCAGTATAAAGTACACCCTGACACCTCATTTTAAAGTACACCCTGTGACCTCATAAGTACACACTGTGCCCTCATTATAAAGTACACACTATGACCTCAGTATAAAGTACACCCTGACACCTCATTTAAAGTACACACTGTGACCTTATAATGAAGTACACACTGTGACCTCACACTGTGACCTCATTATGAAGTACACACTGTGTCCTCATTATAAAGTACACCCTGTGACCTCATTATGAAGTACACCCTGTGACCTCATTATGAAGTACACACTGTGACCTCATTTTAAAGTACACACTGTGACCTCACACTGTGACCTTATAATGAACTACACACTGTGACCTTATAATGAAGTACACACTGTGACCTCACACTGTGACCTCATTATGAAGTACACACTGTGACCTCACACTGTGACCTTATAATGAACTACACCCTGTGACCTCATTATAAAGTACACACTGTGACCTCATTATAAAGTGCACACTGACCTTATAATGAAGTACACACTGTGCCCTCATTATAAAGTACACCCTGTCACCTCATTATAAAGTACACACTGTGACCTTATGATGAACTACACCCTGTGACCTCATTATAAAGTACACCCTGTGACCTCATTATAAAGTACACACTGTGACCTCATTATAAAGTGCACACTGACCTTATAATGAAGTACACCCTGTGACCCCATTATAAAGTACACCCTGTGACCTCATAAGTACACACTGTGCCCTCATTATAAAGTACACACTATGACCTCATTATAAAGTACACCCTGTCACCTCATTTTAAAGTACACACTGTGACCTCATTATGAAGTACACACTGTGCCCTCATTATAAAGTACACCCTGTGACCTCATTATAAAGTACACACTGTGCCCTCATTATAAAGTACACCCTGTGACCTCATTATAAAGTACACCCTGTGACCTCATTATAAAGTACACCCTGTGACCTCATTATAAAGTACACACTGTGCCCTCATTATAAAGTACACACTGTGACCTCACACTGTGACCTCATTATAAAGCACACACTGTGACCACACAGTGTGACTTCACACTGTGACCTAATTATAAAGTACACACTGTGACCTCACACTGTGACCTCATTATAAAGTACACACTCATCAACAGAAAATAGTATAATTTATGTTCTCTCTCTGTAGCTTTCTCCCAGCATCTCCTCTTCCTCCTCCTCCTCTTCGGGTCCTCTCAGTGTCTCTGATCTTCTGATCAGGATCAGTCATTTCTATGAGCTCCAGAGAAACCACACCTTCAGGTGAGTCTAATCAGCTAAGGGCTGACACCTGTTGTTGTTGTTATTGGTGTTGTTTCTGTTGTGTTGCTGTTGCTGCTGTTGTAGTTGTTGTTGCTGGTGTTGCAGTTGTTGCTGTTGTTGCTGTTGCTGCTGTTGTAGTTGTTGTTGTTACTGCTGCACTTTCTGTTGCTGTTGTTCTTGTTATAGTTGTTGTTTTTGCTGTTGCTGTTATTGTTGTTGTGGCTGTTGCGTTTGTTGTTGCTGTTATTGTAACTGCTCCTGTTGCTGTTGTTACTGCTGCTGCTTCTGTTGTTGTTACTGCTGCTGCTGTTGTTGTTGTTGTTGTAGTTGTTGCTGCTGTTGTAGTTGTTGTTGCTGGTGTTGTAGTTGTTGTTGTTACTGCTGCTGCTTCTGTTGTTGTTGTTGTAGTTGTTGCTGCTGCTGCTGTTGTAGTAGTTGCTGTTGTTGTTGATGTTGTTACTACTGCTGTTGTTGTTGTAGTTGTTGTTATTGTAGTTGTTGCTGTTGCTGCTGTTGTAGTTGTTGCTTCTGCTGTTGTTGTAGTTGTTGTTGCTGGTGTTGTAGTTGTTGTTGTTGTAGTTGATGCTGTTACTGCTGTTATTGTTGTTGTGGCTGTTGCGTTTGTTGTAGTTGTTGTTGTTGCTGTTATTGTAACTGCTCCTGTTACTGTTGTTACTGCTGCTGCAGTTGTTGTTGTTGTTACTGCTGCTGCAGTTGTTGTTGTTGTAGTTGTTGCTGCTGCTGCTGTTGTAGTAGTTGCTGTTGTTGATGATGTTGTTACTACTGCTGTTGTTGTAGTTGTTATTGTTGTAGTTGTTGCTGCTGTTGTAGTTGTTGTTGCTGGTGTTGTAGTTGTTGCTGCTGTTGTAGTTGCTGTTGCTGGTGTTGTAATTGTATTTGTTGCTGTTGCTGCTGTTGTAGTTGTTGCTGCTGTTGTTGTAGTTGTTGCTGTTGCTTCTGTTGTTGTAGTTGTTGTTGCTGCTGTTGTTGTAGTAGTTGCTGTTGTTGTTGCTGTTGTTACTGCTGCTTTTGTTGCTGTAGTTTTTGCTGTTGCTGCTGTTGTTGTAGTTGTAGTTGTTGCTGTTGCTGCTGTTGTTGTAGTAGTTGTTGCTGCTGCTGCTGTAGTTGCTGTTGTTGTTGATGTTGTTACTGCTGCTGCTGTTGTTGTAGTTGTTGTTGCTGGTGTTGTAGTTGTTGCTGTTGCTGCTGTTATAGTTGTTGTTGTTACTGCTGCTGCTTCTGTTGTTGTTGTAGATGTTGCTGTTTCTGCTGTTGTTGTAGTTGTTTTTGTAGTGGTTTCTGCTGCTGCTGTTGTAGTAGTTGGTGTTGTTGTTGATGTTTATACTTCTGCTGCTGCTGTTGTTGTAGTTCTTGCTACTGCTGCTGCTTCTGTTGTAGTTGTAGTGGTTGTTGTTGTTGTTGTTGTAGTTGTTGCTGCTGCTGCTGTTGTCGTTGCTGTTGTAGTTGTTGTTACTGCTTCTGTTGTTGTTGTAGTTGTTGCTGTTGCTGCTTCTGTTGTTGTTGTAGTTGTTGCTGCTGCTGCTGCTGTCGTAGTAGTTGCTGTTGTTGTTGATTTTGTTGCTGCTGCTGTTGTTGTAGTTGTTGTTGCTGGTGTTGTAGTTGTTGCTGCTGTTGTAGTAGTTGCTGTTGTTGTTGATGTTGTTACTGCTGCTGTTGTTGTAGTTGTTGCTGTTGCTGCTTTTGTTGTCGTTGTTGTTGCTGCTGCTGTCATAGTAGTTGCTGTTGTTGTAGTTGTTGTTACTGCTGCTGCTTCTGTTGTTGTTGTAGTTGTTGCTTTTGCTGCTGTTGTTGTAGTTGTTGCTGTTGCTGTTGTTGTTGTAGTTGGTGTTGTTGGTGTTGTTGATGATGTTGTTACTACTGCTGTTGTTGTAGTTGTTATTGTTGTAGTTGTTGCTGCTGTTGTAGTTGTTGTTGCTGGTGTTGTAGTTGTTGCTGCTGTTGTAGTTGCTGTTGCTGGTGTTGTAATTGTATTTGTTGCTGTTGCTGCTGTTGTAGTTGTTGCTGCTGTTGTTGTAGTTGTTGCTGTTGCTTCTGTTGTTGTTGTAGTTGTTGTTGCTGCTGTTGTTGTAGTTGCTGTTGTTGTTGCTGTTGTTACTGCTGCTTTTGTTGCTGTAGTTTTTGCTGTTGCTGCTGTTGTTGTAGTTGTAGTTGTTGCTGTTGCTGCTGTTGTTGTAGTAGTTGTTGCTGCTGCTGCTGTAGTTGCTGTTGTTGTTGATGTTGTTACTGCTGCTGCTGTTGTTGTAGTTGTTGTTGCTGGTGTTGTAGTTGTTGCTGTTGCTGCTGTTATAGTTGTTGTTGTTACTGCTGCTGCTTCTGTTGTTGTTAGATGTTGCTGTTTCTGCTGTTGTTGTAGTTTGTTTTTGTAGTGGTTTCTGCTGCTGCTGTTGTAGTAGTTGGTGTTGTTGTTGATGTTTATACTTCTGCTGCTGCTGTTGTTGTAGTTCTTGCTACTGCTGCTGCTTCTGTTGTAGTTGTAGTGGTTGTTGTTGTTGTTGTTGTAGTTGTTGCTGCTGCTGCTGCTGTTGTTGTTGCTGTTGTAGTTGTTGTTACTGCTTCTGTTGTTGTTGTAGTTGTTGCTGTTGCTGCTTCTGTTGTTGTTGTAGTTGTTGCTGCTGCTGCTGCTGTCGTAGTAGTTGCTGTTGTTGTTGATTTTGTTGCTGCTGCTGTTGTTGAAGTTGTTGTTGCTGGTGTTGTAGTTGTTGCTGCTGTTGTAGTAGTTGCTGTTGTTGTTGATGTTGTTACTGCTGCTGTGTTGTAGTTGTTGCTGTTGCTGCTTTTGTTGTCGTTGTTGTTGCTGCTGCTGTCATAGTAGTTGCTGTTGTTGTAGTTGTTGTTACTGCTGCTGCTTCTGTTGTTGTTGTAGTTGTTGCTTTTGCTGCTGTTGTTGTAGTTGTTGCTGTTGCTGCTGTTGTTGTAGTAGTTGCTGTTGTTGTTGTAGTTGTTTCTGCTGTTGTTGTAGTTGATGCTGTTACTACTGCTGTTGTTGTTGTAGTTGTTGTTGCTGCTGTTGTAGTTGTTGTTGTTACTGCTGCTGCTTCTGCTGTTGCTGTAGTTGTTGCTGTTGCTGCTGTTGTTTAGTTGTTGTAGTGGTTGCTGCTGCTGCTTTTCTTGTAGTTGCTGTTGTTGTTGATGTTGTTACTGCTGCTGCTGTTGTAATTGTTGTTACTGTGTGTGTTGTTGTTTTTGTAGTGGTTTCTGCTGCTGCTGTTGTAGTAGTTGCTGTTGTTGTTGATGTTTATACTTCTGCTGCTGCTGCTGTTGTTGTAGTTGTTGCTTTTGCTGCTGTTGTAGTTGTTGTTACTGCTGCTGCTTCTGTTGTAGTTGTAGTGGTTGTTGTTGCTGCTGTTGTTGTAGTTGTTGCTGCTGCTGCTGTTGCCATTGTTGCTGTTGTAGTTGTTGTTGTTACTGCTTCTGTTGTTGTTGTAGTTGTTGCTGTTGCTGCTTCTGTTGCTGCTTTTGTTGTAGTTGTTGCTGCTGCTGCTGCTGTCGTAGTAGTTGCTGTTGTTGTTGATTTTGTTACTGCTGCTGCTGCTGTTGTTGTTGTAGTTGTTTCTGCTGTTGTTGTAGTTGATGCTGTTACTACTGCTGTTGTTGTTGTAGTTGTTGTTGCTGCTGTTGTAGTTGTTGTTGTTACTGCTGCTGCTTCTGCTGTTGCTGTAGTTGTTGCTGTTGCTGCTGTTGTTTTAGTTGTTGTAGTGGTTGCTGCTGCTGCTTTTCTTGTAGTTGCTGTTGTTGTTGATGTTGTTACTGCTGCTGCTGTTGTAATTGTTGTTACTGGTGTTTGTAGTTGTTTTTGTAGTGGTTTCTGCTGCTGTGCTGTTGTAGTAGTTGCTGTTGTTGTTGATGTTTATACTTCTGCTGCTGCTGCTGTTGTTGTAGTTGTTGCTTTTGCTGCTGTTGTAGTTGTTGTTACTGCTGCTGCTCTGTTGTAGTTGTAGTGGTTGTTGTTGCTGCTGTTGTTGTAGTTGTTGCTGCTGCTGCTGTTGCCATTGTTGCTGTTGTAGTTGTTGTTGTTACTGCTTCTGTTTGTTGTTGTAGTTGTTGCTGTTGCTGCTTCTGTTGCTGCTTTTGTTGTAGTTGTTGCTGCTGCTGCTGCTGTCGTAGTAGTTGCTGTTGTTGTTGATTTTGTTACTGCTGCTGCTGCTGTGTGTTGTTGTAGTTGTTTCTGCTGTTGTTGTAGTTGATGCTGTT